GCTTCTTATTGGGCATTTTAGCTTCTTATTTGCATGCATGAACGTAAAGTTAGAAACTTTCCGTGTGAAATCAATCCTAGGAACCCAAATGTATGTATTGGATGCACTGGAATCAAGCAAAATCGACTGTATAGTAATGGCATGCTTGGGACTCGGCGAGTTGTTCTTCAAAATCGACGAGTCGAGTCGTAAGTCCCTGTTTTTCCCCGATTTGAGAGTTTAGGGTAAATCAGTGAGTGGGAATGGACTCAGTGAGTTAGAATTCAGATCTAGTGAGGGAGGGACTCGGCAAGTCTACGCCCCGACTCAGCGAGTCCGGCAACAGGAAGTTGACTTTGACCAGGGGTAAAATACTCATTTTAACATGAGGGCATTTATCAGTACCTGATTTAGTGTTTTTGGGATTTGTCGTCGGGGAGTTCTGGAGCAGCAGTCAGCCAGTTTTAGAGTCAGTATCTCAGCAGCCAGCGTTACGAGGTGAGTTTCCTTCCAGTTGGAACAGGTCTACGACCGCAATGCCGGCCCGTGTAGTTAGCAGTAGTTCCAGACTTCGGTCCGATGCAGTAGTTCAGTGTGCTTGATGTCTTTGTGATTCAAGCATGTCATTGTGTTATGTGTTCCGGACTTCGGTCCGATGCAGTATGCAGTATATGTGTTCATGCTAGTTGATATGTTTATGCTATGCTATGTTCAGTCAGTTCCGGACTTTGGTCCGATGCAGCTAGTTCCAGACGTTAGTCCGATGCAGGGGACAAAGTCCCAGTAAGTTCCGGACTTCGATCCGAAGTTATTTCCGGACTTCGGTCCGATGCAGAGGGCAAGGCCCTGGTTAGTTCCAGACTTCGGTTTGATATAGTTTTCGGATTTCGGTCCGATGCAGTGGAGGCTGAAAAATAGGGAAGGAATGAGACTTAAGGATGTATAAATACTATCCAATCCCTAAAAACTATGGTTTCCCACTCTGGGAAGTACGCACAACATAAACTGATGTACGCCCAACATACTAGGTCATACTCGAGTACGCTCAACGTACATCACGTATGCATGGCATACTCCGAAGTCCCCGAAATTACAATATTGCCATTAGGGTTCCATTGCATACATTCTTGAACTAAGGGGCCAAAATGTAACATAAATAATTTAAGGGATTAAAATTAGAAATACCTTGACATCAAGATGTTACAATTCTCCCCCACTTGATCTAGATTTGTCCTCTAATTCGGCTATAGCGAATAACTCAAGATAATGCTCCTGCATCTCAACCTCCGGCTCCTAGGTCCACTCGGAGCCCCTCCGATGCTGCCACCGTACCTTTACTAAAGGTATCTCCTTGTTGACCTTCATATTTCTTTCAAAAATACCTACCGGACTCTCAACATAGTTCAACCACTCATTGACCTGAATATCATCCAAGGAAACCACCGCATCCCCATCCAATACGCACTTTTGCATCTGCAAAACATGGAAAGTGCTATGAATATGACTCAGCTCCTCAGGTAGACACAAACTATAAGTAACCTTGTCAACCCTGAAATCACTCGAAAAGGATCAATATACCGGGGACCAAACTTCTCCCTCTTCATGAAGCGTATTAAACCTTTCTAAGTTGAGATCTTCAGTATTACCATATCGCCGACCAGAAATTCTAACTCGAATCGGCGTTGATCGGCATAACTCTTCTGCTAACTCTGAGCGGTCTGCAATCTCTGCCTAATCTACTAAATAAGCTCTATGGTCTGAAGGACTACTCCAGTCTTTCACAGCCAATGTAGCCACAACAACCAACGTAGCCACAACAACCACCTCAGCAAGTCGGTTCGTCAAGTATGTCCTTAGAGGACTAGTCAAGTGTTTGGCCACTAGTACACAAGTTTTCCAACAAGAAAAAAAAAGCAAGCATAAAGAGCTTCGAGAAACACGTCTCATAACTTGCCACCTCTGTAAGCAAACTAGATTCTCAGGGAAAGTTACCCTCTCAAAGTGAAGCGAATCCAAGGCACAATGTGTGTGCCATCACATTGAGAGGTGGAAAGAGTTACAATGGTCCAACAATTCCGGTTTATCAAGAGGAAGAGGAAAAAGAAATATCGGTCGAAGAGGCAACCAAAAACGAGAAAAATGAAGATAAGGACCATAAAGAAAGAACGAGAGGAGAGTGAGATCATGCAAATGTTCCAAAAAGTTCAAATTAACATCCCTCTCCTCGAGGCCATCAAGAAGGTACCTAGATATGTAAGGTTCCTTAAGGATCTTTGTGTATCTAAAAAATTTAAAAGGAAACCAAATCATAACAGTTAGGGAAAATGTATATGTGGTTTTGCAAAATAGGATGCCCTCGAAGTGTAAGGATTCCAGTATCTTTACCGTGCCATGTAAATTGGAGAATCTTAATGTACCTTGAGCCGTGCTCGAACTTGGTCCATCTATAAATGTACTACCATACTATATTTATAAATCTATCGATGTAGGAACATTGAGCAGAATCGGTGTGATCATCTAACTTGCCGAACGGTCAATAGTACACCCAAAGTGTGTATTAGAGGACGTGTTAGTGCAAGCCAATGAACTTGTTTTCCCAGCTGATTTTTATGTTCTAGATATGGGAGATGGCGACTCCCCAAGTTCGTGTTCCATACTTTTGGGTAGACCTTTTCTTAAAACATCTAAAACAAAATTTGATGTCTTCAATGGAGCTTTAACTATGGAATTTGATGGGCGAATTTATCAACTTCAATATTCATGAAGCAAAAAAGGTTCCTTCCGGTGCTCAATTTGTCAACACGATCCATCCCTCAACCGAAAGGGTTTTAAACTTGTCTAACAATGAATTTTTGGAGTTAGTGTTGTCACAAGGTGTTGACAGGGACAAAACAAAGGAACTTGCAAAAGAGTTCGATATAAATAATAAGGTGTTGGAGACTTTGGAGTTTATAGATGACAAGAAGCACATTGGAGTTGACGAAAGGAAATCCAAGCTACCTCCCACCAATGCCAAACTCATTCCACCTGTGGAACAAGCACAAGAGCTAGAATCAAAAACTCCACCAGACCATTTAAAGAATGTGTATCTAGAGAAGGAGAGCAACCAACCAGTCATCAACTCAAACAAACTATCAAAAAGGAATAGAAGGAGTTGATTGCCCTGCTAAAAATATACGAAAAAAAGGATTAAGTGGACAATTTCTGACATCAAGGGTTTAAGTCCGTTTTTGGTTTGTGCTCACAAAGAAATCCACATGGGAGGTTGAATGTTCCATTAAAGGAGGTGGCGAGAAGGTAGATGTGATGGACAACTCCACATACTTATATTGATGCATCTTAAGGGCCAAGTCGAACCAACGACTTAAACCACAGGTGCTATCCGAGAGGCAACATGGGGGTATTTTTGTCTTTTCCTTCAAAATATTTTAGTTTCTATGAAGTTTTTTTTTTATTTTTAATGTTCCAAATGTGTTAAAACATCCTTTTAAACCTTCAAAATGAATCTCGGGGTACAAAAATCATTTTTTCGGAAGATTTGGGATTTCGGGGGGTAAAAAATATGGAATTGGCAAGTAGAGACGAACACGGGCCGTGTCTATTTTAGCTTGAAATCGAACACGGGTCGTGCTTGATTTTTTTCAAAATTTCCATTGAAAAATCCTTGCCAACACGACCCATGTCAATTTAGTTCATTTCAACACGGGGCGTGTTCAATCTTTTTCTAAATATTTGAAGATGAAAATCCTCGCCAACACGACCCTTGTCAGTTTAGTTCATTTGAACACGGGTCGTATTCACACTGCACAAAAGATATGTTTTAAGTGTTAAATACAAGTTTTTGACTCATTCTCCCGCAAACACTTCCCAAAACAATTTCTCTCCCCAAAGAAACCCCAATATACGATTTTTCTTCAAAACCCCTTGATTATTCCATGATTTTTCCTTAAATCTGTAAAAATATTTGATACTTATCTTTTACACTTCATCTCCTACACACATTTTATTCCACTTTCATGGTGGATTTGAGGATTTCGTAAACCCTAAGTCCGAAAATTCTTAAATTTTTTGGTATTCTTGTGCTTGAATCTTCATGTAGGCTAGCTTGGGGAGGTTGAATAGGAACTTCTCACCCACAACAACGCATCTCCAGCAACAATTCGGTACAATCCTTCCAATTCTTCAATTGTTGATTATGTGCTTTAGAGTCGAAATGCATGCATTTGTGGTCATTTTGGACTGGACAGTCACTTGTAAATTGTTCAAATATGAGTTTCCTGCGAAATCTTGGTGACCAAATTTGTGTTGACTAGACCCTTCAAACAGTTGACTTTTTGACCTGTTGACCTTTTGACTCCCAATTATGAATATGGAAAACGAGCAACGTAAACGAACTAGGCACACTAAGATGTCAGCCCGGCGTCGTAGATCCCCATCACCACTGCCTCCACCTCGACCTAATCCATAACATGGTGGTATGATTTGTCTTGGTCCACTTCAAGTTGCCAAAGTTAAGGCCTTCCTTCAGCATACACATACCATTCAAAAATTTGTGCATGTGCCATCTCTCTGTGGGTTGCACATCTATCACCAAGTCTATACCTTGTTCTGAAACATTGGTTGGCAAGGGTTGTTGCAAGTCCATGAACTCATCTACAAAATCCCAACAGTCGAGTTTTTATACTCTGACTATTTGGACCATGATGTCCTCAATTTCCATCTCATGAACCGTGACTATGCCCTTTCCTTTGACCAAATTAATGCTATTGTTGGGGCCCTAACTGAAAACACTTTTCTCCTTACTGACCCAACTGTTGGATACAATGAACTCACTTAGTGGACTCAACTTACCCATCATCATCCTTATGTATCAAGTGTAGCTAAAGCCTTATCTCTCATCCACCTTATGATGAAAGTGGCTCACCGGATCATTGCTTTGCTACAGTTCATTTCTTTCCAACAAATTCATCCGTGTCAGCACATACCAATCAGGAAAAATTTATTGTGGTGGCATTGTTAGCATGTTCTCTAAAAGTGCACCGGTTCGGGCCCCATATCCAGGTAATCACCAACCATTGCCCAGTGAGCCTTATCTCACCACGGTAGTGCTCGAGTCCATGAGGTTGTTTCGATCAGTGGATGGTAATCATACTTGGACCATGGGCCAAAACCATGACCCAAAGCTCCTTAGCACACCTGATAACCGAAACATTCTTGCCCTGAAATGTCCGACCAACCTCACCGATTGGCAAATCACCCCGTACCTTTTCCCCATATCCTCTTCCAGTGAGGAAGATGAGGAAGGTGAGGAAAATAAGGAAGATGACAATGATGAGGATGGAGACGAGGAACCACGAAATCTTCCTTCTACAGGCGGAGCCAGCTCATCCCATGATATTGGACACCCGACATATCACCAACAATACACGGACTAATTTCAATCAATTCACACCTGCTTTGACACCCACCATCAAGACCTCACGTGTCTAACCCAAAATTTTGCCACCTTCACCACCCAATATGTCTGTGACCAAGAGCGTTAATGCAAGAACAATGAGGACTTTTGGACTTGGACTCAAAACCTCGGGTAGTATGCTCCTCCTACTCCTCAATAGGTTATTCTGCCCTCTCCAAGCATCAGAGACGATGCTTATATTCAAGCTTTGGGAGGGGTAGAGTTGTACATTAGGTTCATCTCGATGTACATTAGGTTCATATCCATGCATTTTCATTTTCATGTATTTCATACATAAAAAAAAAAGATTTAAACTTTCTTATTTTCATTTTTTCCCATGCATTCTGCATTTTAAAATTTATAAAATCCAAAGATATTTTCTCTCTGTTCTAGTTTTCTGCATTGCATTAAAAAAAAATCAAAAATCGATCTTTCAATCATAAGGGGTGTGAATAGTTGACCGCCTTAAAGTCAAAACACTAAATAAGTAAGTTAATTAATTAATTAATTAAATTAAATTAAATAACTCCTCACTTCAGATGTCCCACATTGATAGATCCGAAGGCGTCCTCATCGTTATGGGTTTGGTAACTCAAAAATAAAGGGTAGATGACTTTCCGTGACGAGTTATCGAATGCAGAAGGGTAAAACAACTTTTGACAATACCGCACTCTTTAAACCCTGATACCTAATGCTAACTCCTGTTTGAAACAACTAGACAACCATCTTTAGAATCCATTTTGGACAGACCTTTTGAAGGGGGATATCATTGCACCCACCCGTTCACATGTCGTCTGAAGTATTGAAGGCTTGTTTGGCCATTGCACTAATCGGGCCTAAAATCCATACGAGCAAATGCTTCAAGATCCAATAAATCTATAAATGAAAAAAGAAATCACAAGCCAATTCTTAAACCAAATAGATTCAAGAGCAAATCAAGCCAAATCAAAGAAGGGAATCTCAAGAAAGTTTAAGAAAAGCAAGTCAAAGAACTCAAGTTGAAGATCAAAGACGCGGGCAACACAAGACCTCGGGTAGATGCAATGATTGATACCTTTGGGAGTAAACCTGAGATAGATAGTGAGCGTTGGGATGGAATGCAAGGTTGGTGGAATCCTGAGTACCCTGAGGGAGTTTTGGAAGCGATCCATATTAAAAAAATATGATACCCTTCCAAATGAAGTATCGACACTGGAGTTGTTTACATTTTCAAAAACACTAAATCAGTGACTTTGACACGAAATCTCATGACCCTCTTCCTTTGAACTCTGGGCCCATGATTGTCCTTTAAAGGACAACGTCCAAGGTTTGACTCTGTTGAGACTTTCTTGAAGTGAGAACAATAAATGGACAATATTTTGTGTTTGGATGTTAGGTAACTGACTATCATGCCCTTGGTGATCTAATTTGTGTTTTTAAATTTTTCTTCGGTTTATTTTTCTTAAGCTTCTTTGTACATATATTGTTTTTTCATGGTTTTTATTGGATGCATTTGTTCTTAGCTTTTAGGATCTTTTTGTCCCCTTTTGTTCTATGTTTCGTTTGCCATCTAGAAATCATCATGTTTCGTCCGATTCTTGTTCTTTCTTGAGGACAAGAAAGATCTAAGCTTGAGGAGATTGTTAGGTGCATTTTGTGCACCTTTTTACACACCTTTTAGTCCTTTTATGCATCCATTTAGCATAGTTGTTTTTCATTTTTTCCTATATTTCATCAAAGTCGTGTTAGTATCTAAAACAACCTTATTTTCACGCTTTTATGGTCTTTTCAGGTAACCATAGGTTGCAACGCGCTTTAGGAGGTGTTGTGAAGCATGGGTGAAGATTTCGCGATGATTGAATACAAAACGGAAAAGTTGGAAAAATCAAGATTGGACCTAGAAGCAGGAACGAACACAGGGCGAGTTGGATTTACACTGAAAATGAGCACGAGTCATTTTTGACCAAAACTAAGCCTTTGACCATGCTGAACAAGACCCATGTTAGTTTAGCATGTTTTGACACGGGCTGTGTTTGGAACGCTCGTAGATCCGGGCTAGTCAAATTAGAGACGATAAGCATCAAAAATGACTTTTTGATGGAAGATTATTTAGAAGGATTAATCTTAACCAAGTTGTAGTATATGTCACAAGGTTTCCGTGCATATAAAGAACGCCAAAATCCGAGTTATAACGAAGAAGTTATGACCTGTCGAAGTTTCGCGACAGAACCGGCATGGCCCAGCGCAACCCAACGCGACGTAAATAGTAAATATAAGATAGATATATATGTATATATATCTATCCTTAGTGATCTAAACGAGAGTCGAATATATCTTCGATAGTAGTCCAACGATAAAAAGACAGACAAAAAGGATGAGAGGCCTCGATGTCATTGTAATCCAGTCATCTAGCGGAATTTAGATGACGACCACAGAATTTTCTAGACAGTCCAGTGGAACGCTAGCAGGCTCATAACCTGTAGGTGTTAATGAACTTCGGTGTTCATTCGCTGTATTCCATCCCCCTCATGGTTGCCTTATTTGACTTATATTGCTGAGGAACCCCCGAAGCATGTGTTTTCGCTCCGATGAAATATTCTTAGACTAGGTCCCTTGTGTTAGTTGTCTTAGGAATGTAAAGTGAGAATAACGGGAACGGGTAATTGGGTTATTATTGGTTGATGAAATTAAATTAATTATTTAATGTGGGTTGAAAACCCTATATGCTCACTAGGCTCCCAAGCCTGACCCACTCAGTTTTCTTTGCATTACAGGTAATGGCACAAGAGTATAAGTTGGTGGACTTGACGAGAGGTTTTGGATTATAGATCAGCAGTTATAAATAACTGTTGTAAGATCTATTTTATATTGTTTATGCTTTTGGTCTGTATCGGAACATGACATCCCGAGGTTTTATTATTTAATGAAAATACATTCTCTTTGAGAAATGTTTTGATAAATGGTTATCATATTTTAATTTGGGAACAAATTCCGCAACCGTTTTCTTTAAAAGATTTACTCTGATTTTATAAAACAAAGCATAAAAAATCTGTCTTTTTTTGGCCGTGAAATTGGGGATGTCACAGTGTTGGTCCAGCTAAGCGTTTTTAACATTGTACTTTGGTAGAAGACCTGATGACGACTTGCATATTTCCACCCAACACGACCCGTGTTAATTCACTCTATTTTGACACGGGGCGTGTTTGGCCCCAAAACTAACTTTAGACAGTTTTTCCTATCTTTCATATTACGGGATTGGGGACATTACACATGGGGACTTCATTTTCCAGAGCGCGGGAGAAGAGCAATTTCCCAGGTTTTTGAAAGGTTTCGATTGTAATCATTTTAGAAACATTTGTCGTTGGATTTGTAAGTCTCGTATGTGGATTATTTCATCTTTTCTAGTATTGTTGATTGTTCTAGTCATATACGGATAGAACCTTAGTTTCTCCAACTTTATGTCTTGACTTTTAGTTGTGATTTCAATCATGTGATTTGATGTTTGTTTCTAATTTCTATCTAGTGAATTTGATTTTTTTCAATCTAATGTTTGATTTTTAATTTAGTTCTTATCGTCCATTTGAATTAGGGTTAGATCATTCAAGTTATCTATTTTTCAAAATCCATAATTGTTTTGTGAAATAGAGCAAGTAACAAGCATTAAATTGAATTCTTTTGAATAAATATAGTGTAAATCATATCCACACATTCTTATGCTCACGAGCTTGTGAGGAGTATTGAATGTTTTTGGGAACATTCACATAAAGTTTAATGCAATCTTTCAATCAAACCACTCGGTGTCTACCCGCTCTAATCAAGTTCCTCGTATGAAGTCCTTGCATGACACAAAAGTCAGGAAAAAATGTTATAACACATTGCAAGTCGTTGCTTATGCGAATAACCGAATGAAGGTTGCATTTAAACTCTGGGACATATAATACTTCCGAGAGTTTTACTCCCCCTAGGAGAGTACATTCTCCTTTTCCTTCCACATGGATGGAATCACCATTAGGTATAATAACAGGCGGTTCAAAAGGAGTTCTTTTCTTATTTTTCAAGTAAGCAAGGGATAAAAGTTATATGATCAGTACAATCTGAATCACTGATCCAATCATGTTCACTGTTTCTTTTACCTGCCATGTTTGCATTGTGTACCATCCTGTCTTTATTGGTGGTAGAGGTGAAGTGTTTTACAAACATCTGATATTGTTCTTTGGTGAGCATAGGTATCATACTAGCCTCAAATTTTGTACATGCAGCTATTGTCTTAGTCTTTTCACCTTTCTTTCTGGGCCACCAATCTGGGTATCCTACAAGTTTAAAACAACCTTCTCTCTTCTGCCCGTTCTTCCTGCAAAAGGTGCATTGTTCACCTTCCTTTTTTTTATCGACTTTTGAGAGTTCTTTTCTTTTTATTGGTTAAAACTTGGGTTTCTTCCTTGGAAAGTCTTCAATGTTGCAGGTTCATAAGGAATTCTTTTCTCATTTAAAATCGAGCTCTATCTCTCGTCCTCAGCCACTATGTGGTATATTGTTCCCAAAGAAGGTGTTGGCTTTGTTTCTAGGATTTAAGTCTTGATCACGGTGAACTCAACATCTAATCCCATAAGGAATTGATATAAGTGTTCCTTTTCTTGATAGTCACTCATTCTTTTTTCAATTTCCCAAAAAAAAAATATTACATGAACACTTGGGGATAGGTAATATGGATGAATTTTCATCCCACAATGTGCAAAGATTGGTGTATTAAGTGGATAAAAAAATTGTCTACTTGTCGAGTAGCAACTATCTTTTGCTTCAGCTCGTAAGCTCTTAAGGAACTCTCCTTGCCAAATCTTTCATGCAAATCTGACCACATCTGTGTCATTGTGTTTGCGTATTTTATGATGTCACAAATGTTTTTCTCCATTGATGTAGTGATCCATCACTTCACCATTGCATTACATCTCATCCATGACATGTATTCTTATGACCCTTTTCTGGTTTCTCGATTGTTCTATC